CCCCCCCCCCCCCCCCCCTCACCTCCATGTAAACAAGCCTTTAAAGATTTTGCATCGACAAAATCTTCCTGGAAATTAAAGGTTCTATCCACGCTATTTGCTATGAGATCTTTTTAACAAGCAAAAGCGAGTCTTCGCATCAACTGAATTTCAAAAATAATGGTACTGTAACAGTATTGTTTAACACCATACATATGCAATGATGTTTCATGTCGTCAAATTAATCACCAGAAAAATCATTATGGTTTATTTTTTAATAGAACTTCCAGATAACATTTGTCACGAGTATTTTGTATGGGCGGTAAGGTGATGACTTATAAGCCCCTTTAATCTGAAATAATCATTGCATGACGCATAGTCAACGCGATCCAGCAATGTTATTTCTAATCACCTTTTTTGGATAATAGGGTTAAGCATTTAGCTTCACATTGCCATGAGGAAATTGTCGCAGCTTCTCTTCGGCTTAAGTCAATTCCTTGCCCCTCAAACAGTATAGGTATCATCTCAGTGGCAGTGGAACGCACACGGAATGGCCTTTGATTTTTCCCAGATCCTGCTTATGAACACGCACCGGGATGACTCTAAGACGATGTTGGCATAAATTCAAGGACAATTATTTCAGCACTCAATTAGCCAAACTGGGGTGGCGATGGCCATTTAAGCTGGGATGTACTATCACTTAGGAAAATTTCATGAGAAAAAAAAATAATCTAGTAAAAACGTCTAGTATAATGCATGAGAAAAGGGGAAACTGCGAGCATGCGTTATTTGGCAGCTGCATACTGGTAATCACTTAGTTCAACTTCTGATGAAAGCACGAAATCAATGCCAGTTTCGGGTGAACTGAAAAGTTACCGCTTGATCAAAAGTTGAGATCACCATGAAGCTTATTTATAGTTTTTTTTTTTTTTAGTTGGAATTCTCACTGAAGTTTGGACGCGCAAATACGTCATAGTTTGCAAACAACGCAAGACTGATCGTCAGTAAAAATTCCATGCATAGCTTAATTTTGAACTGAATCATGATGACGTCCGTTGTAGACGTGTTTAAAGGGGCTATGTCACCCCACACGCATGCGCGAGCCAATGAAAACAAACTTGAAAAAGTTGGCCTGTCTTTTTCAAGTTCTGTCGGAGATTTTGGAAGGCTGTTTTTATCTGTCTAAATCTCAGCCATCGTTCGAAAATTAGCGAAGTTTTATATTAAGAATCGTTCTATGGTGATTACAGAATAATTTTTCGGCGTTATTTTGACATTGTTTGCCTGTGGAATGTTTTTACGTGGATTTACTGTGTCCTCTTATCAGCGGCCGTTATAATGGCAGAGTTAATGACGGCTACTCCACAATGAGTGATGGAATCTTTGATGGAATCTTGCCTATAGTTCACAGAACCTTTCTATTGAGTTATTTTAGAGGTTGCTGGCTCTTGGATTTTTCTTGTGCTCAAAGTATGTGGACATATAATGAAGCGGCTATCGAGTTGGCGGCGGCCGTTTTTGGTAAACGATTACAAGAGTATCAGGCCATGAGTTTCGTGACCAAACTAAACTCCTGGCGAAGGAAACATTATAAAATTCGGCTAGATTCCGTCTTGTATTTATCTGGATTCACGGCAAAGATAAACACGACCGTTTGCTCGTCCAGATTGTTCTCAACGGACTTAGAGAGGCACCTTAGTACGATCGAGTTAGATCCTGTAAATGCTATGTTTTTGAACTGTTTGTGTTCGAGCATATTTTTGGAAAATAGCAGAGTTTACTTTCCCTTTTTATCAACGGACTGCTTATAGTGGAGTAGTATACCAATGATGCTTGGTTCTGTTTTTCTCGACGTCGCAGTGATTCGGCACGATCGAACAATTTTGCGCGATAATGTATGTTTCCCTAAGTTCAAAACAAAGACTTGATGTCTCTTGTTCTATCAGCATCTAAATTATAAAATCACTAGCGACAGACAAGTCTAATTGTTAATGATTTGAAACAGTCTTGGTCTTTATCTTCGGTCTAGGGTCATTTGTAGCTCGTTTGTAAAATACAACTTCGACTTCTTTTGTTGAATAAGACAATATGTTGTTGTTGAATTTTTGTTTGCGCACTATTTTATAAATGGCGTGCGTTTTTACTCCAAAACTACAAGTAAAATTGTCGTCACAATGATATTCTTGATCTAGCATAACCAGAGAAGAAACGTTCCGTAAATTCTATCGAAATATCCCTTATCTAAACCCATTTCGCTTGTTAACCTCTCTAAATTCGGAGCCTTGGACGTGACAGAGAACATGGAGAAAGTCACGCGTTAAAAACAATAGAATTTTGACAGTTGAAAGTAATTTGCATAACCTCAGAACGCACATGGAGACAGTCACGCGTTAAAAACAATAGAGTTTTGACAGTTGGAAGTAATTTGCATAACCTCAGACCGCATGCTCTCCAGCTGACATAGCTCCTTTAAGCTTTTTCACCGCGTTCTTTTCTGATTTATTGTACTCAGGTACTAAAAATGGTTGCCTGTAAGTTTATAAGATGGCTTTCTAGATGGATTGCAGTGCTGCGAAATAATTAGTATAGGTAATAGCATGATTTGTAGTGAAGTTTGGAATAAATACCACGAGTGATATTTCGAAATTGTTATACGTAATTTCACGAGCCGTTGCGCGAGTGAAATTTGAGACAATTTTGAAATATCACGAGTGGTATTTATGCCAAATATCACGTACAAATCATGTTATTATTTGTTTATACTACTACCCACAAAAGGTTTGTAATTTTCACATGTAGGTATTTCAAATTAAGCTGAAATACCACTGTTCTAAGCCAATCAAATTGCAGAAATTTCTCATGTAGTAGTATAAAGAAGATAATCGAGCATGAGTGCTTGAAAAATTTGCGTCATAAATAAATTCACTAAACGAAAATAAACTTATCACCCTCATAAGTCACAGCATAATGCTTTCATGAGATTTTTCCAACTTTTTAACAAACGTTTTCTGGGGAATTTATCGGATGTTTAAGGATTTAACATCATTCAGTGAGGTACGGAGGATTCTTTCCATCTCGTACTCGACACATAAAAGACACGGCTAACTGCTTTTTTAAGATGGTCTCAACTGGTCTCAAAGCCTCAATCCATTTCCCTCCTTTTATCACTTATCATCATTGATGCAACGCCGGGCTGTGTCACAGCTGTATAGTTCATTTTGTTAATGTTGCCAATTACACCGTGGAACTTATCCTCAGCAAAGAAAATTACTTGCAAACGACAAGATTACTGCTTCATGTAAAACAAGTATCTGAAGTATGTCTCCAAACGTCAAACTTTATAGACAAAAAGAATATGAACTCTTGAAAAACTGTTAGGCAAACAAGTATTCAAAAAACCATTATTATATGATCTAATGTTTTGAGCAGTTATTTCTATGTTTCTCTCAATTTGGAGGCAGTCCCGACTGATTGAATTTTAAATTAATTAAATTTCGACATGCTACGTGAGTCCTTTAATGCCTTGAAGCACGGGGAAACCCCCGGACAATTAGGTAACAGTTCTTTCCGTTACTTCGACAAACTTCCAGTCTTCACCTCCGCCTTTTCTTGACTGAGTGATTTGACAAGTTGGTTTTCGTTTGTTTCATCTTCTGCTTTGCAATGATTTACGCAACAGTTAATGTTTTTTATACTGTGATTGCTACATATAGTCATTCAATACCATGGATTGTGCAATGCTGCACGTCATTATTTATCGTCAGCGAGGTCAATTAGGTTAGAATAGCCGGATTACATACTGTCACGTAATGTTAATTCTATAAGTACTTTGACAGAAACATCGTGCACAAAATTCATCCTTAAGAAAACCTCCAATGTGCGTAAACGGTGGTGGTGAGCCTGCTTCTCGTGTGAAATTTATCTGTAATACAGATGAACGACTTCTGTGTCCCTTCTGCAAGGATATTTTCAATGAACCTTGGCAAACCTCTTGTGGACATCGATTTTGTAAAAAGTGTCTGGACGCGCTCTTAAGGTAAACTGTTTAAAATCGTTTAACCACCACCTCTCTCTCCAAGAGGCTGCTTTGTCCTTTGTTTTAACCACCAGAAATAGTGATGCTTTTGGAACACAAAGGGGACACGGCCGGCCTACAGCTCTTACAATCACATTCACATCCATTTTATTGTTGTCGCAGAGTATATCAGTCAGAATTCAGACAGAATCAAGAGCCCCCAATTTTTCTTCTGACCTTTTCCTTAAAAAGAACTCAGGCTCCAAGGCTTGCTGTTTTAGACATTTTCTGAACACAGGTTGTGTTCTCTTATGCTTTGCAGACTTGATGTTCCCAAATGCCCGTTGGACGGAGAAAAAATTATACGAGATCAATACTTTCGGGACAGATGCTGCGAGAGAGAAGTTCATAATGTTCAATGTTTTTGTCGATATAGAGACATTGGCTGCGATTGGAAAGGAGAATTGGGATACTTAAAGGTAGGATTAAAGCAATCACTTGGTACGACGTTGACGCATGTTTAATCTAGCTACGCAGTGACGAACCTTTTTTTACAGAGNAGTGATTTGACAAGTTGGTTTTCGTTTGTTTCATCTTCTGCTTTGCAATGATTTACGCAACAGTTAATGTTTTTTATACTGTGATTGCTACATATAGTCATTCAATACCATGGATTGTGCAATGCTGCACGTCATTATTTATCGTCAGCGAGGTCAATTAGGTTAGAATAGCCGGATTACATACTGTCACGTAATGTTAATTCTATAAGTACTTTGACAGAAACATCGTGCACAAAATTCATCCTTAAGAAAACCTCCAATGTGCGTAAACGGTGGTGGTGAGCCTGCTTCTCGTGTGAAATTTATCTGTAATACAGATGAACGACTTCTGTGTCCCTTCTGCAAGGATATTTTCAATGAACCTTGGCAAACCTCTTGTGGACATCGATTTTGTAAAAAGTGTCTGGACGCGCTCTTAAGGTAAACTGTTTAAAATCGTTTAACCACCACCTCTCTCTCCAAGAGGCTGCTTTGTCCTTTGTTTTAACCACCAGAAATAGTGATGCTTTTGGAACACAAAGGGGACACGGCCGGCCTACAGCTCTTACAATCACATTCACATCCATTTTATTGTTGTCGCAGAGTATATCAGTCAGAATTCAGACAGAATCAAGAGCCCCCAATTTTTCTTCTGACCTTTTCCTTAAAAAGAACTCAGGCTCCAAGGCTTGCTGTTTTAGACATTTTCTGAACACAGGTTGTGTTCTCTTATGCTTTGCAGACTTGATGTTCCCAAATGCCCGTTGGACGGAGAAAAAATTATACGAGATCAATACTTTCGGGACAGATGCTGCGAGAGAGAAGTTCATAATGTTCAATGTTTTTGTCGATATAGAGACATTGGCTGCGATTGGAAAGGAGAATTGGGATACTTAAAGGTAGGATTAAAGCAATCACTTGGTACGACGTTGACGCATGTTTAATCTAGCTACGCAGTGACGAACCTTTTTTTACAGAGTTCAAACAAAGTTGCAATTTTTAATGCTTCTTAATTTCAGTAAAACAAAAAAGATACTTTAACTGATATATTTCTGATATTTATTAAATTCCCGAAATATGAAGGCCCACGTTTCATGAAGTTCATTTTTTCCAACTGACAAAAGCAAAAAAAACAAAACAAAACAAAACAAAACAATGATCATTTTTCAATGCCTAAGGTCTGTTATCTCAGTTTTTTTGGAAAGCGCGTGACGTGGTGCTTAGCCTGTTCCAGGCGTTGAGATAGTAAGTGGGGAGCGAGTTAAGTTGTAGTCTCCCCTCGTTTTTTTTTTCTTCGTGAATTTTTCTCCCGCGCTATACTATCCGAACGCCTGGAACAGGCTACGTGGTGTTGTATTGACCGGCCAGTGCTCCGACCATATATAGAAATTTTTAAAACTGCCTAAACAGCCACCCACTAGCTTTCTTGAGGCCCGACGCGCTGCTAACGACGGGGGTGACGCAGGCAGTCACTCTTCACACGTCAATAACTGCCCATCCGTTCCGCCATGAACGGGGCAGACAACTAAGCTTTCGCTATTGTTCTCCATTTCTCTTACAAGCTGACTCCTGTCATTTTTGCAGAAACATGAAGATATATGTCAGTATGGCGATGAGCAGTGCCAAGCATGTGGAGAGTCAGTGGAGAGAAGGCATCTTGAACAACACAGAACAAAGGACTGTATCAACAGAGCCGTGGCCTGTACATACTGTGGTGGGGAGGTTCTCCAAAGCAACATGGAGGTAAGAAATACATGAGCTTCACCTTTACTATAAACCCAACTAAAAAAAGTATTTGGGCGTTTAACTGATGTTATAACTAACTGACCTCATAAACAGTGCATAAAATATCTCAATACTTCTTTGAACATCAGCAAATGGCACATGGTGGTACAAGGTGATAGCAGCGAAGAAAACAAAGGCTCACTGTGTTTTGTATGCGCGTCTGTCGCACTTTAATTATTCTTTAACCAACGTTTCCCGCGGTTTGTATTGCCATCTTATTTCCCAAGTTCCGATATTTCTTAAATTGGTAGCGGCTCCTTTGAATCAAGCCACAAAGTCTGTCTATAACACAAGGATTAGGCGAAATCACGTACCATTACTGAATAAATGATGCAGGTTAGGTTGGAGTTAAGTATACTGATCCCGGGTACTGATTGGAAATGTGAAATACTTACCATAGATAAATGGGCTTATGCATGATGAAAGCGCAAATCCATAACTTGACTTTACGGCCAGTCCGTCACTGCAATACACTTTTAATCGTCACGGCTATTTTCCTTTCAGAATCATGGAGAAGTCTGTTTTAAATTTCCCATGGAATGCAAATTGAAATGTGGTCAAGACAACATACCGCGTGACATGATGGAGGAACACGTGACTACACTTTGTCCTAAGGCGGAACATTTGTGCCCTTTCAGTTGTCAAGGTTGCCATTATAGAGTAAGTATTATTTTCGGTTTGTGTTTTACAGCAAGCATAAAGAGGTCGAGAAAACTGCTTTCCTGTTGGCGATGGCATTTTTCTCTAGTTAAAGTTAATAAAAGCTTATACTTAATCTAAAAAACGGTTTTCCAATGCTCGCTCTTCTTTGTAATGTCGTTCCTATTCCCTCTCAGTCATTAAATACAGCCTTCGATGCAAACGGGTGCGGTTAATTTTGGGACGCGCTCTGCTTCTTCGAAGCCCTAGTCCAAACGATTAGTTATCGGTTGTGTTGGTAGCAGAAAATGGTCCTTGTAATGGGAGGGATGAATATGGGCTTGTGGCGGTCATAACCTCTGTAACCTCGTCCACCACAGATAAAATTAACAATTATTCCTCGAGCCCGAATGGGCCAACTAGTTGGTCAAAAATATCGAGGATAAAAAGAAATTAGCTAGTTAAAACTAGACTTTAATCCTTTTTTGCCGCCCAAAAGCGCGCGCTTTTCGCTACTAGTAGGCTATAACATATAGCCTAGTAGTAGCTCAACCAATCAGAACGCAGCATTGATAATAGACCTCTAGTTGGATTTTACTAATAGTGGATAGTCGGGTGTAAA